CCGCTCTGCTCCCCACCGCCCTCCCACCCGGCTGCTTATGGGGCAAAACGGTGGGGAACAGGTGCGACGTTTGGAAATAGGTGTTGCGATAAATGAGGATCCTGCTTAGGCCGGGAAGTGTCCCTCGTGTCCCTTCTGCTGCTCTCCCCCCACACCAGAAGGAAAAAGGAAATGAATTCCCATGATGAATGTTGAGGAGGAACCAAGTCCCGCGTGGCCCGGCCAGAGGAGTTTGACTTCTGATTGTACCGGGTGATCAAGGAATGAACATTTGCGTTGAGGCAGCTGATGTTTCCCACCAGGCAGGGGGCAGGAGCGGGGACACAAGGCAGCTCTTACCTTTTCTCCCTTGTCTGTGTAAGATGTCTGAAAGAGAGAACCAGAAAAGGGGTGTTAGCAGGGGGGAACCTCAGCCCCCGGGGAGCTCAAACCCACAGGTCAGAGTACGAGGAACAGCTTTTGGGCATGACTTCCAGCACAGTCGCTGAAAAGTCCTAATTCAGGCAGAAATTAAACCTCTAAAGTTCCCCAGATGTCCCCAGCTGTCGAGCCCCGGCTATTTAATTTAATTCTCTCACCATTTTTGTGACCTGGCGACGTGACAGCGGCAAAGAGAGCAGGAGTCCACGGGGGCATTTAATATAGCGGTGGGACATGGGAAGCTCCTCCTTGACTCCACCTTCTCCCACCCCAAAGCGTCTGTGACCCAGAGATGTGGTTGGTCTGGGCTGGGAACTGCCCCATCCTGCAGGTTGGATGGGGCTTGGAGCAACCTGGCCTAGCGGGAGGTGTCCCTGCCCGTGCAGGGAAGTTGGAACTGGACGATCTTTAAGGTCCTTTCCAGCCCAAACCAGTCCGGGATTCTATGACATGCCCCCAGGGCCGAGCTAACCCTGCAGCAGAACATCCCCGGTCCCCGCGTGCGTGGGGACACGGGAGGTGACGCAACCAAAGCAACACCCCCCCCAGCCCGCCCACCTGCCCGCGGGGGCGTTCACCCCTTCGTGGGGCCCGTCACCCCCCCCGGCTGGCGTCGAGCTGGGACACTCCGGCAGCGGGAGGGAAAGGCCGGACCCGGGGACACT